TGTTGTAAAGAGTGGTGCCTTAGCGAGGTGTGGAAGAACAAGGAGAATAGAAGAGCGGAACAAGGAAGATAAAAAAGCGTGTTTTTTTGTTCGGTGTGCCATGAAACTCGCTAAGAGTGCCAAGGAAATGCAACTAAACAACCGTCGCGAGCCCTCTGGCGTAGAGTTCAAAATTTGGCAAAATTTGTCAATCATAACTGTAGGCCCTTCACTTCTTATGGTTTGTTTATTCTGTTTATTAAAATGGAAAATACAACCAAATACAAGTTTTATTTAACAAAAGGCGGGAAACAACACTGTAGTAAGGCTACGAGAGTCGTGAAAATTGCCTGTAAATTGGAAATGCATTAAAAGCGACATTTTGTCAATAGTTTCAATATTATGATTTCCCCTCGTTGTGAGTAAGCATAAAATTTGAATTCAACCCCTTACCATTTTAAAATCAATTATGCTATGCATAGTCCCACTGCCGACTCTCTGTCTATCCAAATAAAGAGACAAAGCGCTGTCTTCTACCGATGGATCAGTTTTGCAATTTACATCACTTTTACTGAAAATTTCACGAGAGCTTGAATACATATCAGCATATAAATCGACCATTTGAGAAGCACATTATGAGCATCAACAAACAAGTTTATGAGTAATCCAATTTCCTTAAATTTATTGCTCGCAGATCGATTAACAAAGTAAACACAAATTCCATCTTTTTTAATTAGATAATCCTTCCATATTTACCTCAATTTTTAGAATACATCTCCAACGTTATTTACTAGTTGTTAGTCCTTGTTTAGTGACGAATGACTCGGCCATAGATTACCAAATTCTTAAACAATATTTGTCATAAAATGCCGTTTTTCTTCTTATATAACTATTTTTAGAATTGCCAGTTAATAAAGATTTAAATAATACGTCACAGATAAAGATTATATTAGCTTGCGGCAATTGATACGGTATTCAAAAATATTTTCTTACTGAATTTGATAAGGCGAATTAATTAAAGTTCGAATTCGTTATGGTTAGCTAAATAATTGTTTGCTATGATGATTAAGTTTTGGAAAGGCGCTCTTCAAATTTCCAATATGATTTTTGTTATACAGTGTCATCATTTCCCATTCCTTAAAACACTTTTTAATAATAACTTATTATCAAGGTATATAAAACAAAAAGATAAAGTGATTGAAGAAAGTTTCAAAACCCATAATCTTCGATGTTCATGTTAACAAGAGAAACTCGCGTATATTTGTAAGTTTTCTTTGGGTCGTATAGGCGTTTTTTCTAAATATTTTTTATAAGACTATTCCTAGTGAAAAGTATTATTGGTCTACTTTTGTTCACTTACAAATAAAAGAAGTATGATTATCACAATGATATATGATTAATATTTGTTTATGGTTAGAAACGTTGACGACACGGGTTGATATTCAATTCATCTGCAATACACATCATAGTGTTTCTAACACCGTATCGAGAGCTATTGGAATGGCACTGGCTGTGAACTTGATCCTTCTCCTCCAAGCCTATCTTCTAATCGGTGAGTGATTTTCAATTCTTTTCGTTTTTACGATCTTGCAGTATTACGAAAAAGATGGAAGAAGCACGTACGAGAACAAGTTTAACACTTGCTTGTACTTATGAATAAAACACATGAGATACGAAAAACCGAGTTTTACCACATTTCCAAGGTGAGCAGAAGAAAAAGTTGAAAATCAGTTGGACACGCAGCGGTGTATTTTTGACAACCTTTGAGGTGTTTGGAGATGTTGTGAAACACTGTCTCGCGCGTTTGATGTATGTTACCTACAAACTAAAACTAAGGAAGAAACGCATCAATAATCAACTGAGAAATGATAATTAAATTATCATTCAAACCTGTTAGAAAATAAAGATTGCTAACTCAATCTCGACTCTCACCTTTCTAAAAACAAAAATACCAAACTTTGCAGAGTATTATTGAATTCTTATCTCCCGCTGTCTAAAGCTTGCCTGAGTCATATTATCTATAGACATTATGAGATACTACAAGACTTGTGGTTTTCTTTTTGCGCTTTCTCGGCACCTATTATTCTGTATAGTTTTTTTTTTTAAACTGTTTCCTCAAATACTATTTCGTGTGGTAACATAAATTATCAAATGACTTATTGATTGAAACTTTCGTGCTTTTGGCTTCATATTTTCACAGGATACGTTAATGGAGGGTCTTATCATGGAGGTAATTACGAATAATTATTGTCTCAATAATAAACTATGAAAAATCAATTCGCCAAGATTTAACGATTTAATTCTTTAAGTCTCCAATTGTCTAAAGCTTACCATATCTGTTGTAATGTGGAGTTATGTTATAAAAAGGCTTATGGTTTATCTTAATAGGCACCCCTTAATTGTTTGTTGAAAAAAATCATTACCCCAAAAATCATGGTAGCGCGCCGACGGAACTTGATGTTAAGCTGTAATGTCTTCTCTTTCAGACTGTGACTCGCCACTTGGAATTGAGAGTGGCGATATACCAAATTCTGACATGACCGCGTCCTCCGAGGTTAGTAAAATGAAATAAATCTATCCACTGAGCACAATTGCAGTGCATTTTGAACGCCTTAGCGTTTTATTTCATTTCATTTGTCCTTAAGGTCATTATTTACATTTGCAGTGGAACGCACACCATGGGCCTAGCAATGCTAGGCTTAACCGTCCAGCTGGCGGGGGAATGACTGGAGCTTGGTCCGCCAAGACAAATGACTTAGGACAATGGATTCAGGTCAATTTTCGTGAGCTGACTCGAGTGACTGAGGTGGCAATTCAGGGAAGGCAGGACCATGCTCAATGGGTAACGGCATTCAAATTATCTTACAGTCTGGATGGAAACCACTTCGAGCCCCAAGAAGAGGTGGGTAATGTCTTGTTTTGTTCGTCCTCTTTCGTTGGAAACACTGCGTGGCGATGAAGTTTTGGAATTAATTTAGTAAGTTCACAGACAACAGCAGTTCTACATTTTATGAAATCATTTTGCTATCTGAGCGACGCTGCAGTATACGACGTTACCATTGTTTTTTTTCTAAATGACGATCTCTTCCATCAATACAATACTCAACCTTAGGTAATATGGTCCCAAGTCCATATACACTGAAACGTTTATCATTAGAAGAGAAGAGACGAAAAATGTCACAAGAGTCTTTATTTTTTCTTATTTTTGCAGATATACCAAGGAAATAATGACCAAAACAGTGTTGTTGTTAACACTTTAATGGAACCAATTGAAGCTCGATTTATCCGACTTCATCCATATGCATGGTATAGACACATCTCCTTGAGAATGGAGTTTTATGGGTGCAGCTTGAAACCAGGTAAGGTGGATAACTTTCCATACATGCTGTGAGATACACCCTCTCCGCGAAAGGAAGAACGTCCTCTCCAACTTCCTCACTTGGCGACCATGCTATTTAGGGAGGGCCTAAGTTGCACCTTTTAGCTGTGGGGTGTAAATGTATTTGTTGATTTTTGTTGGTATGCCCTTGTCATTTGATTATGAAAAAAATTCAAGACTGAAGCTCCAAGCATGGTTAATAGAGAGAGTGATTAAGACGGCCCAGTAAACATCAAAAAAGCAAACAAACGGGCTAAGGTATATGTTGGAGGGTCCCTGACCCTGCACATCTTTCGTTTTATGCTCATTGACTATGCATGAATTACATAATCGCAATGCTTCTATGGGTTAGTGGTATGGGCACACACAACTACCTTTTGTATTTTTTGAGGTTTACGCAGGGTCAACCCCCAAAATAGCTAACACTAAGTGGACACTGCCATTCAGTTACAGTATCAATCCCATTAAGAAAGGATAGTATACATTGAAAACAAAATGTTTCAAACTGCGGCTTCAATTTGTGAGATTAATTTGATAACCTGTCATTTTATTCCCTCTTCAGAATGCGCAAAACCTTTAGGACTGGAAAATAACCGAATTCCCAACTCAGCTATTACCGCGTCATCAGAGGTAAAAGAGTCTGTTACACTTATTATCAGCTTTCTTTTCTTTTGCGTCAAAATTGTATTTGTCACTTGTTTAAGAGAGAGTCACTTGAGGAAACGCGATATTGGTAGAAAATCGTTCAAGTCATTGTGGTGATTTCCGTATTCTTTATGTTGCGTGTTTCTTATGCAAATCAATGCTAAGAAACCAACATACCTTTTCTTAGTGGATCCTTTCTCATAACTTACACACACAAAAAAATGTAGCGCATATCGTTACAGTAAGAAATGTCATCCAATCTTCATTTACCGACATACTGTTTCTCTGACTGACTAACTGACGGATTGAACGAATACCTCACTCAACCACTCACTGACCAACTGACTGAACAAATGACTGAAAACTGGCTGACCGACTGACCGACTGATTTTCTCGCTAAATTACGCAGTGGCCGATCGACTTACTGAACAACTAAAAATTGACTGACTGACTGACTGACTAATTGAGCGACTGAATACTGACGGACTGACTGAATTACTGTCTCGGTTATTTGCTCAGTGGCCGATAGACCGACTGCTAAAAACTGAATGACTGACTCGGTACTGACTATCCGACTGACCGATTTATTGATTGATGATTTATAGGTTGATTGTGACGGACGGATGGCTCAGTTTCGATTGATTCGTTTGACTGAGTGACTGACTGAATGACTGGCTGATTGACTGACATACTAATTGATTGATTGATTAACTGACTTGATGGCTGATCGACGGATTGACTGATCGTTCGACGGATTGATTGACTGATGGGCGGATGGATGGCTTTTTTGATTGATTCATTAATTGATAGATTGTTTGACTGACTAAGTGGCTGACTGACTCACCATCTGATTGATTGCTTGATTGATGATTGATGTACTGACCGATTGACTAAGTGAATGACTGATTAAATGAATAGGTGATTGATTGATTGATTGATTGATTGATTGACTGATTGATTGAATGATTGAGTGTTTAACTGATTGATGGATTGAATGATTGAAGTGGGACGTTAACCATGGACCTACCAACGCCAGACTCGACAAACCCAGCGGTGGTGGTAAGACAGGTGCTTGGTCCTCTAGAACAAATGATGCAAACCAGTGGATTCAAGTAAAATTTTGTGAAGTCACCAAAGTAACTAAAGTGGGAATCCAGGGCAGATATGACCACGACCAATGGGTTACCAAGTTCATAGTGTCTTACAGCCTCGATGGCGTACATTTTACCACCCAAAGCAAGGTGAGTCTAATGAAATTACAAATTAAAAGGATGATGATGTTAATGTCATTGAGGATCATTAGTTGCTTAGGTTTAGTCTCAAGGTAATTAATGAAATCTCAAAGGACCCTAGTCAGCCTCCGCCATTTTCGATACCATCGAACTTATTTAAATTGCGTGGTGAAGCAAAATCTTATTGCTTCACTGTAAGCTGTGTTCCTGAAAGTGTGTTTAAGTATCTTAAGTAGTTTCGCAGTGATTTGCTTCGTTTTGGCCTGGTCACAATGAAATATAATAGCCAAAATCTCTCATGTATACAAAAACAAAGGTGTGGCTGACTAGGGCCCTTTAATTTCTACAGGTATACGACGGGAACAGCAACCGTAATGGTATCATCATCAACGATTTAGATACACCAATTGTGGCTCGTGCAGTTCGGATCAACCCAGTTGAATGGTACCGTCACATATCCATGAGAATGGAACTCTATGGTTGCCGATTATCATCAGGTAAGTACAGTACAGTGTAATTAATCTCTTTACGCTATGTTATTGGGATGAATAAGAGATTACACGTTATTGTAACAAAAATGATTTTGTAAGTATTCGGCTCACGTACTACCGACCAGAGCGGAATTGTGTCTCTCAATTCTGTTAAAGAACCCCGATATGATTTTTTCTTCAGAATGTGCAGCGCCACTGGGAATGGAGAATTGGCTCATCCCGAATTACGCCATTACAGCTTCATCTGAGGTAAGGGATATCTTAACCGTATTCGGGTGAAGACTTTTTTTTGTCCAGTCATTTCATTTTAATTGTTTTCTTTTTAAATTTTGGGCCTATCTACGGAATTTCCAAACTTTGAAGCTCTGAAATTAAGCTTTCTTCAATTTGATATATCAAATCATTTCCATCTCAATAAATAATCCAACGTAGGATGCCGATGTTGGGCGAGGAATGATTGAGCTGTAATATAATCGATCTGGTTTTTCGGTGTAGACCTATTGACTTGGTAAGAAATTAGAAACACGTTATATCTGACCACCAACAAAACGGCGTACAAAGGTTTGTCGTATTGCATAGCAATTAACCCTCTGGCGTACAAAGGGAAAAGTGCTATGTAGGATTATTAATAAGGGTTCATAAACAAATAGAAGCAATCTTTTTAAGAGCAATTATGTATCTTGTTTTAATTTAATTTTCTTTTCAATCGTTTTAATGCATAACGTCCAACGCATGGAATATTGCACCGTCAAAAGACACCGAGGCTCCATTTTCGTTCCAGAATGTTTAATTGGTGCGAGATTATGCAAGGCTTAATGAAAAGATTATCTTTTTGTTTCTCAGTGGAATGCATACCATGGACCCTCCAATGCAAGGCTGTTTTTTACGGCAGGTCGCGGAAAAACAGGCGCCTGGTCGTCAAGGATAAACGACAAATCACAATGGATTCAGGTGGATCTTCGTGAAAAATTCCAAGTGACCAAGATGGCTACACAAGGCAGGCAGGATCATGCGCAGTGGGTGACTCAATACAAGGTGTCCTACAGCACAGATGGAAAGACATTTACGTCCCAGAACAAGGTGGGCAAGTGCAAAAGGAAATTACTTTTAATTATTATTTGATTTTTCCTTTATTACATCACAATTTATTTTGTGCGTTCTTCCGCTCTGAGTTATGCAAATAGTTATTGACGGCGCGGAAGGTAAAAAGGTACAAATTGTAACGCTGCAGCAACAATACACCTACAGATCTCTTATCTTTTGTATCTCTATCTCGATTGACACACACCCATCCAGGTTGACCACGCGTTTAAGATTGGTTTCTTACGACGTCACTTCGGGAAGGACACATAGAGAAGGCATACACTTCCAAATAAAATATTTAGTTTTCGCGGTCCGCGTTGTCCAAACTGGTCATTCGACGATCTTCTCAGTCTGTAGAGGACAGCTAATAATTGTTTAAGCATGTATGACTAAGTGGTGTATGTGCAGAGCTATTGGTTTTCTCCACATTATTGCTGCTGTTGCTGTCCTAGTCCGCACAAGTTCTCAAATGTTTCCCGACTTTTACACGATGCTTAAGGAAGTGACATCGCGACCAAACTAGATCCTGGGCTCTTTGTTGCTAAAACATTCGATCAACTTTGATGGTCGTGGCTCAAACGGGTACTTTGAACTAACATTTCAGGGACGAAAAGCGTCGGAATCGAAATATTTCTGGGACTAAAATCTATGCTCTATAGAGATACTAAAACAGTAAACAAACCTCGTAGTTGATATAGAGACTTCAACAATAAGTATAGTACAGGTTTCAGACACATGAACATGGTGGAGAAAAAGAAAAACAAAAATAGTCAGGTATTTTGACAGTATGAGTCTTAAAAACAATTTATGATGAGGAAATGTAAAATCGCACATTTGACCGGAATTACCGCAAAAATATTTTCGCTTGTTAGTGAGGTCTGTGCTTAGTCCCTAAGGTTCAAAACTTTGTTTTTCATCAATTGTATAGGTGTACGAAGCTAACCGGGATCAAAATACCGTCGTAGTCAATAATTTAGAAGCACCCATACAAGCACGTTTTATCCGCCTTGAACCTCAAAATTGGCATGGTCACATCTCGATAAGAATGGAACTCTATGGCTGCAGCTTTAAATCAGGTATTTTCTTATTTAGCATCTATAACAATTCATTAAGCGTTAACATAATCTGCATTATCAAACAAACTAGAACGACAAAATATATTAGGTACTCTAAAAGACAGAGAAGGGAGATTAAGGTCTCGGTTTGAGATTTTCCCGTGAAGACCTCACTCTCGGTTACTAAGTTAATTTTCACTTTCTTGTTCACCAGTGTGCGCGTCACCAATGGGAATGGAAAATAAAATGATACCTGGCTATGCAATCACCGCCTCCTCTGAGGTAGGTTTAACAATTTTAGTCATGTTTCTACTATCTTTAAATATTCAGGCCATTTGTATGTTAGGGTAGATAGATGTGTTTTAACTGCATCTTCCCCGTAAGTGTACAACTAATGAAGATAGCACACCATTGATTACAACAATCCTGTCATCGTATCAGTTCTGTCCACGGAGAACCTCGAAAAAGATAGCCTTCTGCTCCTCCCTCCTACAAATTATCCCACCCGCCCTCTATTTGCAGTCCGAAATGTTCAATCCGTGCGATTATGCACGATTATTATACATTGAACTCACTATCTCTTTTCTGATTGGCCGAAAGCGTATAGCGAATTCTAGAAATCAGCGCCTGTGACGTCATCTAGCTGCAGATTATACAATCATTAGGTCAAGGACACTCAGGGTCACAGGTAATCATGCCATGTATGACCGCGGTGCATGATTTCTAAGGGTAATCATGTCAAGTTCGCGCGCTTTGTGTTGCTTGCCGTCAGTGAAGAAGCAAAAACATGACTTCCATTTTTTTTTCGTTTAATGTATAATAAAACAACTATTAGATTCGGTTTTTGTGATATCCAGAATACTCAAGGTCGAGGAGATTATTATCTGAGGAGATCTTGTTTTTTATCTGAGGAGATTATTATTTTTTGTTCCTAAGTGGGCTGGAAACCATGGTCCCACCAATGCAAGGTTGTACCATTTGGCTGGCGGCGGAAAGACGGGCGCCTGGTCTTCAAGAACAAACGACAAATCACAGTGGATTCAGGTAGATCTTGGAGTAGTGAAAAGGGTAACGCAGGTTGCAAGTCAGGGCCGTTCGGACGCTGCACAGTGGGTGACAAGATATAAGATGTCTTTCAGTACATTTGGAAAGGAGTTCAAGTCCCAAGATCATGTAAGTTACCGCGTGATGTTTGTACAATCGAGCACATGTTTTAACTGTGAATTGCTTTTCTCCCTTTGATATTGACGATGACGACGATGATGATGATTACTGATAGGGATCACCACCACCACCACCATCATCATCAACATCATCATCATCATCATCATCATCATCATCCGTACTAATTGCGCCAAGAAACGCATAAGGTCTCAACAAAAGTATTCATATTTAATCTTTTTGTATCATTTTGCCCACTCACTTTCTATGCTACGCAGTGTGTTCACTTTTAACCTCAACGCGTCTCCACGTACGTCCATGTCTTGTTTTTATGGGGGTAACTGCACAATGGCTTCAGGCGCTACACGACAAATTCTTCTTGCTTCGCTTGCAAAGATTACGCCGATCCTGCCAGCCCTGTCCCGAAACTGGCAAGTTCATTAAGTTTAATTAACACAAAGGCAAGAAAACCGTTAAATGTGAATTAGTTGTGTGTTAAAAATTTTCACATGCAATTTATACAAGGCCTTATCGACTCATATGTTTGTGATCATTAAAGGTTTACAAAGCCAACAGCGACCGGCATAGTGTTGTCGTCAATACTCTTATTTATCCCATCGAGGCTCGTTTTGTCCGTCTCAACATAGAGGCATGGTATGGACACATTTCAATGCGGTTTGAACTGTATGGGTGCCATGTCCGTGTAGGTGAGAAATGTTGTACATTCTTGCTTTGCCAATTAAAATACGCTAAAGCATACTCTCTTCAGAGTCTCTACACGTTGTCCTTTGAATTTCAATACTACTTACGCCACTTTGACTCTCTTGTTTTGGTCTTAGATTTTTGCAGCAATCACACATACTTTTATTCTACGTTTTTCAGAATGTACATCGTCGCTTGGATTGACCAGTAAGAAGTTACCAGACTCAGCCCTAGCTGCCTCTTCTGAGGTAAGATGTAACATGTCAAACACGAAATACCGTGTTTTACCACTTTTCCAAACACCGACAGGATAGTTGAAAAAAGAGAGTTGAAAAAAAAAACGACACGTAAAGAAGCATTTTTCGCGACGTTCGATGTATTTGGAAATGTGGTGACACTTAACGAATTGACGATCCACTAGGCTATCGCCTGTTAGATCCACAGCTGCTTTGACAATGTTATGTCAAAATTTATGATCAATAACTGTATAGACGCATGAAAAACTAATGTCAATTTGTTTTTTTTACGTTAACAAATTATCAAATTGTCCGCTCTTGCTCGTTAACGCATCGGTTAAATCCTAAATCCACGTGTCTGTCCGCTTATTGATAATGAAAATTAGCCAAATAGCGCACGAGAATTTCTGCAGTTATCGTAAAATACTGTTTTGAGTGTCTGATATGTCTTCTCAAACGAACCTCGAAAAACTATTGAGAAAAAGGAGAAGTATAATCGTAAAAATCTATGCTAAAAAAGATCACATATCCAAACACCTCGTCGCCATTCTGAAGAACTAACAACGGCATTGTTTTTAAGTGGGACGGAAACCATGGAGCTAACAATGCGAGACTGTACCGTGTGAGTGGTTGGGGAAGGACTGGGGCCTGGTCGTCCAAGCTTAATAACAAAGGTCAGTGGTTAGAAGTGGATCTTGGAGAGACAGCCAAAGTTACCATGGTAGCGACTCAGGGCCGATACGACCATGACCAGTGGGTGAAAAGCTATAAAGTGGCTTACAGCAAATACGGTGGCCATTTTGTCTTTCAAAACAAGGTGAGTAGTGACGTGAGAAGACTGCACATGGATACGTGAAAGGATTGTGCCATTTATAGCGGTAAAACTAATAGTCAGAGATCGCGCTGGCCTGATTCAATGGTATGAGAGCAAAATTATCGATTGCAATATTTCATAAGGTAAACCCTTTCTTCTTCAGTGTCGTTAGTTGTGTGTGCTTAAATGCGTTTGTATAAATTTCTTATTATTGTCATTTAGATTGATTGAACAAGAGTCCATTCATTTGCAGGTGTATGACGCTAACTCAGACAGAAACAGTGTCATTGTTAATACGCTCATTCAACCCATTGAAGCTCGTTTCATTCGTATTTATCCAGAGAGTTGGCATGGTCATATGTCCATGAGAATGGAATTGTATGGCTGTGAGATTCACTCAGGTAAAAAGGCTTGTTTGAGATGTAACCAGATATTAAAAGAACGTTTCCGTCGAAAGGGTAACTCAGTTTTACTACATCCTTACTAATGCCAGTAGAAACTGTGAAACATTCATAAAAAATTCAACATTTTTTCACCTCCATAGACATAATGCAACTCGACCAATGTAAGAGTTTTTTACTCCACTTACCGAAAAATTCCGGAAGTGTCGGTCATAATAATGTAAATGGTGAGAGAATTTTGGCTCGACCGACCGCAAAATTTCCAAAATGAACGGAACGTCTTGAAAGGTAGTCCAAAATTTCCTACCGAAATACCCGGACGGAAAATTTGCGTACCATTTTTTTAGGAAAATTTGCTTACCATTGGGTTTGGGCGAACTCGAAATAGCTGTGGAAAGACTCGCCTGTCGGCTCGTGTTCCCACAGCATTTCTCGTTCTCCCAAACTTCCACTAGTGTTTATATCACTCGATAGAAACACGGTAGATGTTTTAATTATTTCTTAAATACCAACATTGAATGGCCAGTTCCCTCTATGAGACCCACCTTCAAAGAATCACGGTAGTTATATTCATCAAAACAAATATTGAGTCCAAGATGATGAATAAAACCTACCATGAATCCCTGCAGTCATAAAGAGTTAGCTATGGATCCATTTCTACCTTTAAAATAGAGCGTTTTCACATGGCGTCACGGCAGCCATATTAGTGTCCCAAAACTTTGAAACCGACGGTGGCCATGCTGGTGTACCAAACTATTCATCACCTAATTCATTATGTAAACACTTTTCTTGTTCCAATAAGTAAATGAATGATAATGCTCTATAGTTTTGGCAGTCTTTATATTGTAAATATTAATTAATGACAGTCTCTTCTTCTAAAGGACACTAGTTTCTGCATGTTTCTGGGCTTTGTTATTATTATTATTATTATTATTATTATTATTACTATTATATTACTAGTATTAAAATTTGCTTAATGTTTGGTTATTCATTCCTTCTGTAATAAAAACAAGGAGAACAAGGGGTTTTCTAAAACAAATATATAGCTTTGTGATGTTAACCATGGAGTAAGGCAGGAATGACACGTTTTTATCTGGTGCGCACAACCACCTACCCCACCCCAACCACTTCCTTGCCTCAAGACTAATTAATTGATATCAATAAGTAAATAAATAAATAAATTAATTAATTAAACCAACATTAAAGTTTACACCTTATTGCCTTAGTACTTTATTGCTTTATTACATTATTGCCTAAGTACTTAGCGGGCGTCAGCCCCCAAACCATCCCAATAGTGCCCTCTGCACTACCAAACAAATCGACAAACCAACCAACAACCGATTTAACCAACTTATAATACTCTTTTAGATTGCATGACGCCACTTGTAATGGAAAACGATCAAATCCCAGATTCCTCCATAACGGCTTCTTCAGTGGTAAGTACAACAGCAGCTAAAACGCCATTCTGATCTGAAAGTGGTACTGAAAAAAAAAAGCCTCATGTGACATTTATACAAGTACTATGTAATTCTTGAATTAAAGTCTGAGATGCCTTAGAGATACTACAGCAGTGAAGTAGTGACACAGGAACAATCGTCACGTCATAGTCATGTGTAACTTTATAACACCGCTTAGGGGCAGATCCTGAAAATTCAGAGATAGGGGCCGAAGAAATTGGGGCAGAGTGCAAGTCACCCTCCCCCCCATCCCACCACGCCCAAACTGAATAAAAAAATTCCCTTTTCCTGGAGATGCTGCCTATTTTTTTTCAAAATAATAATACAAGAAAAAAAGGGGATACCACCCTCTCTAGCCTCCTGCCCCCCAATCCGCTTCTGCCAAAATTGGAAATTGCAATTTTAACTAACTTGTGACTCTCTTGTTGAAACTAGTGGGCGGCCACCCATGGGCCGAACAATGCCAGGATCTACCACATGGCAGGAGGGGGCCGAACAGGCGCATGGTCTGCCAGGACAAACGATAAAGGGCAGTGGATTCAAGTGAATCTTGGTAAAATTAGACAACTAACCAAAGTAGGCATTCAGGGCCGGCAGGATAATGCGCAGTGGGTGACGAAATACAGGGTGTCTTACAGCACGGACGGTCAACACTTTACTTCTCAAAATCAGGTAGGCCACGAGTCCCGGTCCTGCTCTATAAACACAATACTGATGGGTACATTATTTTGCCAGAAAAATGAACTGTTGAGGGGTTCTTAAAAATATACGGACTTTGGAATGAATTAGAAATTAGAAATTAACGACCACACATAGAAATACACATTTGGAAATCTGTTCATTGAAGATTAGAGCTGCAATCCTTTTCTGCTGGAAAAAAACCGAACAACAAACTAACATTTTGTAGCATTTCAGTTTAACATCATGATCATTTTGACATGCAACAACTGCTTCAAGCGAGTTCACATGTTAATTTTCTACGCTTCAAGCACCGATTTTGAGTTTGAATGAAATATCGTTATCTAACAACTGCTAAATGTGTGTTGCAGTGTAAGTTCGAACAATTGCGAACTGAATATTTGCAGTAATTAAACTTGAGTAAGGTTTTTCAAAATAACGAGCAACGCGTAATATATTCTGTAATTTCAGGAATACACGGGAAGCAAGGATCAAAATACCGTTGTCATTAGTGATTTGATCCAGCCAATAACAGCTCAGTATGTTCGAATTCTTCCACAAGCATGGCATAGACACATTTCCATGAGAATGGAGTTGTATGGTTGTGCACGTGATTCAAGTAAGATATTTGTAATGGCATTCATAGCTTTTTCTTATAAAGGACAGTCGTATCACCACACCATGTGGCTCCTTTTTGCGAAATTCTGTTAACTAAGTACCCTGCAGAACACTATCCTCGCATAAGCCTGTCTCCGTAAAAAGTAACCTCACTTTAAGGACGTTCGCGCTAATTGTTTCTGCGCATCCTTACTGCGCACGAAAATTCACACGCCACGTCATGCATCGAGCGCGCACTAAGTAATGAAACGAACAATGATAGGGCAGATGGCCATTACTATAGCTTTGCCTGGATTTAGCGATCTTGGACGTTCGGTGACCCCTATTTTTCTTTTTATGGGTCATTTTCTCTACTGATTTCCTACATTTAGTGAAAAAATGAAAAAAAAATCTATCGATTAGAAATCTGAATTTTTTACAAAATGCACCATCGAATTCCATCCTTTTTAGCTCTTCGTTTATCTGTGCAGCGGTTTCAAATGCCTGTTGAAGGATCAACTTTTGTGAAGACGTTGGCAACATTGGAATTATCAGGGCAACTGATTCACTTATAAAACATATTACTTGGATAGTTTGTCTCCGTTGCTTCATCTTTGATATTTTAACCTAAAAACCCTGGAGACCCCGCTGATTTGCGCGCGGCAATTTTTCAAAATCAGACTAGATTTCCACACGCTTTATCACTGAAATTGAACGAAGTCCCTGACCCCCCAATTTTTTTTTTTCATTTCTGAAACAAGTAATTCATTACCTGTCCGCGCGAGAAGTTTGAAGAAAATCTATCGAGTAGAAAATTTTCGCGCGAACGTCCTTAAAAGAGAAGAATAGTGGTGCGGAGATGAAAAAAAGAGGGGTACCTCGAATAGCCACATCACTTGCTACTAGTAGAAATACAATTGAAAAAATTTACTCGGTTCTGATCGGCTAAAATGGAGTACAGTTTTCATGTAACACCAGTGCAAATTTGAAACACTAGTGCAAACTATAGCAAAGATATCCGAGGTTAGTGCGAAGACACTCGTGACTAACGACGGTAATCTGATGTATTCCTGGGAGGAATTTCCCGAAATCAGTCTGTAAGTATTTCCTCGACCAAACTCTCCTGATGCTAATATTGTTAATTGTCGGCAGTTGATGGAGGATTTTCTGATTGGAGCGAATGGAGCGCCTGCTCATTGCCATGTGGTGGTGGAACGCGAAAACGAGTGCGTACTTGCACAAACCCTCTGCAGCAGTATGGCGGGAAAGATTGCCAAGGACTGAGGGAGATGTTTGAAACATGCCACACCGAAGACTGTCCCGATTCTGGTTAGGATATTTACCTGGTATTTGATGTTACACGGACTCGGCATATTCTTGACCAAGTCACATCGTCAAACGCAGCAATTTTTAAAAATGAGACATGTGCCAGGGTGCAATGATCTTAGATCTTAAACTGTGGGTGTAAAATGTTCATATTTCAGATTTTTTAGCGTTGTAAATACAAGAAATTTCATTCGCGATACAACTTCTTATATAGCCTGTGTACATCCGCCCCCTCCCCTCAAAAAGGGACTCGTGGGAGCTTGATCAAATGATCAGTTTTCCAAGTAACACGTGTTATTGATTGATAACATCTCACCGTCCTAGCTATATTAGACATATCTTAGTCACGTGTGCCATTACTCATTAAGGAAAAATGGCTGATTTTCGCGGAACACATTACATATGTGCAGCATTGTCATTTTTCTCTTCTTTTTTTCAGGGTGACCTGCTTCTCGTGATTACAGGCAAACATGCAGCCAACCGGGGATATCACACAGCTCATCATATCAGAGAATATTGGTGAAGGGATAAGGGAATAGAAATGGTTTTGGTTGTAGATCATGACTGATCAAGAAATATTAAAGGGATCTTTATGCTGCACAACGCTCTGACTATTTCTTCTATGTCTTTGACTGTTTCGTTTTTCGTTTGGTTTACCTTAATCAGACCAATAGGGTTGCCTGCCCAGGGGCAGATCTAGGGGAAGGGTGCAGGGGGTGTGCAACCTCCCCCCCCCCCTGAGAGCTCGTGTTTGCCTTTACAATTTGTTACCTCACTAGTCCGTTACGCCATTCCTTAGCAGAGAACCCCCTCTTAAGAAATATCCTGGATCCACCCCTGGTGCCCACGCTGACTTTGACTTTTAATAACTTCTCATAATTTTGAAGTTAACGCTGCCAAAGTTTGCGACTTAATCTAAAAATTATCTGGAATTTGGTATGACATGATACTTGATGTTTTCATGGCAGCAACCGTTTTTTTTTTGACAGACATGTTTAACAAAGCTTTAAAACGTGTTCAAAAAGACTCTTTAAGAGGCTGTCTCTGTAAAAACCACCCACTCAATTTCGCTTCAAAAATAATTTTGTCTGCATGAAATTCTGGCAACTGAAAAGCGTAATTAAAGTTAGAATAAAACTAGTTTTGGTTTGATTCGAAATGATTTTCCAGTCGCGTGAATATTTCTCCTCGTCAGGGCCCGTCGTGCCCTCTGCAAAAGCGTAAAATTGACATTTCTCGTGTCGCTGTATATATTTGTAGCATCTGGTAATGAATATTATATCACTTTACGCATAAACCTTTCTAGTTTTCTACGATAGATTAACAAATTTTATATTTATTTAAGTGGTAATAAATCAAGCATATTGCTGAAATCAAGCATCCTACTGAACATTAATAATCGCCATCGAATGATGGCTGGAAATGACCATTTAGAAGTTAATTTTAAAACTCGGGGCCTAGTTGAAACCTTACACAGTCGCAAAGTGTAGTCCTTTATCGACAAAAACATGTAAAGCATCAGAAGTGACGAAACAAATTTTGTATTGTCTTCAATTTGTCAGTTGCGAAGAAGAGGAATACCATTTTGTCCTTTCGGCAGGGCAGCTCGGTTTTGAAGTTCGCAGTTGTTGAATCATTTAGCAGTTCCAGTAAATAGGTAGATTTTGCCTTAAAAACTCGACTCCATGGAAACATTTTGGGCTAAAATACCCTATCGGAACATCGTTTCAGAGTAAGTTCCTTCAAGAATCAATTAAAATACTATCAAAGTCTGGTTTCGTTTTTACGATCTTGCAGTATTACGATAAAAAAGGAAGAAGCACGTACCGGAACGAATTAAACAAGTGCTTGTGTTTATGAATAAAACAGACACGAAAGACCGAGTCTTATCACATTTCCAAACTGACCGAGAAAAGAGTTGAAATTTGGACACGCAGTGGTGTATTTTTAACGACTTTTGAGGTGTTTGGAAATGTTGTGAAACACTGTCTCGCGTATTTGATGTATATTCTCTGCAAACTAAAACTAAAGAGACCAAGGAAGAAACGTATAAATGAAATTGAAATTTCTATGCGGTTATGAATTTGTCAAATTCTTCAATAAGGGCAAGAAGAATGATTCATTGCATCTTTAATTAAAACCGATGATCTCGTAGTTTGTGAAGTTAGCATCGTGTAACCAATCTGACGTTAAATTAACAATTCAAGAGCCTTACTTTAAAGAAATAATTGAATTATGATTAGCAAACTCGAAGTAGTTTAACTTCAGCTCACAGCAGTACTCACTACTCACGAACAAAGACGATGAAGCCTAACAGAATAGAAACAGAATATAAACTGAGACTTAAATGTGTATGGCAAAAAAATTGGAAATCTATGGTTCCCTCACGAGGTTATCACGGGCACAGCCGTTACGTGTTTTGCCGACACGTTCAACGTTCATCGAACCCTTATTAAGATAATGCCTTTGACCATTGCGTGATCGCTTTTTCGAAAGTGAATCTGCTGATAGGTGAGTTTTCATTGCTAGTAAGGTAAAAGGTAAAGTCTGCATAGGAGCCAAGTGGCCTATCAGGCCAGAGCTTATCGCGGTTTCTGTAGCATGAAGCGACTAGGGGTATTTCTACTCCCCCCTGGGTGGGGTGCTAGTCCATCGCATGGTTACCCCAGCATTAAGTTCGCCGGTACCCATTTATACACCTGGGTGGAGAGAGGCACTGTGAGAGTAGAGTGTCTTGCCGAAGAACACAACACAATGTCCCTGGCCAGGGCTCGAACCCGGACCGCTCGATCCGGAGACGAGGGCACTAACCATGAGGCCACAGCGCCTCCCAGGCTGGGTCCGTATTGTCAAACTCATCAATTAGCGAATGAGACCGGGTAACTCGAGTAACAGGCCATTTCCGAGCTGCCTTTTACCTCTGTGTCAAAACGAGTCTTCGGGCGAAACCATTCATATGAAAATGAGTTCCGCCTACAGTCAGTTTCATGCAAATCAAACTCATTTTCATAAGAAAGATTTTGCACGAAGACTCGTTTCGAAACAGAGACACAAGTTACCTAAGTCGGAGATGGCTCTTCACGCAGTCATAAGAACGTCTACGATGGAAGTCATTTATATTAAGGATAACTTTTTTTAAAAAAGGATAACATTTTTTAAGGATAACGAGCATTTTTCGCAAGTTGTTAAATAGGCATAGTCACTGACGCAAACTATGTCGGATTCATATTTTGAGTAGAGTTAAGTATTTATTGTGTCAAGAGAAACATTTCCAGTCGCTCAATAGTCAGGGTAAATTTTCGCTGGTGATTATGAATTTCGACAGCTCGTGATCTTTCAGATACAGTTATGGCTGACGAACACTAAATTAACGATTTCACAGCAAACTAAATAGAGAACGCAATAACGAGGTACTTGTAAATGCTGTTTACGGTCCGTAAAATGCATCTCATTAAGTCTTGAACTAGCAAAAGAAAATATCAACCGAGGGATAATGCTGCAACAAACAAGGCAAAAATACTTTTATATCCTAAACACAATGTCTCTTTTTCTCTAAAGCTTACACTAATCCAGCATTCTTGAAAGAAAATGCCAAACTAACCCTCAACGAGTTCCGTTGTTAATTTCGAATTAATGCAAAAGAGGTACGAGCTAAATGCCTTGTAAAAAGCAAGACCATCATCAAAAAATTCTCACAACGAGTAAATTGAACGGGTAAATGTCAAACGGCTGATTTGACCAGCTATTTTATATCCCTCAACCCAAGCGCGCGCGCCACATCACACTAAACCCTTTATTTGTCCAATGAAGTCTAAACAAATGAAAACAAAGTTACATGTAAAGACTTCTCTTGTTAAGTATTTGATCTCCTATTTTTTTGCGGTGAAAATTTGATGACATATTGAAGAATAAAGTGCCGTTTATTACGGAAAAGTGCCTAGCGACTTCTTCCCGAGCCTGCGATGTTTTTTTAACAGCTTCAATGTATAAGATTTTGTCTTTTAGGCAACAAGATGAAAAAAAAAAAAAAAGATGATTTTGGTACCCTTTTAATAAAATAACAACATTTGCAACTAGTGAGTTAATTTTAGAGGAGTCTTTTTTCGGCCAATTTTTGTTGCAAGTCAACCCAGTCATATCTTTCTGTTCACATAAGACATTGGCGAATGCATCCTTTTGTATAAGTCAATGCAATTGGGCCGTTCAAGAAGAGGAACATGTTAAATTGCATCCCTCAGAATTAAATTTTTAAAGACAACAAAAATTCAATAAAGTTCAGATCAATAATTAAAAAAAATTACATTGTTACCTAAATAAATATTTTTTAAGCCCCTAACTTATTTCTGGATCATTACTCGCTTCATTTTTATAAAATTCTCAGATGTGTTAGCCCAGAAAAGTATTGTTAGTTACAGGCATGCAAAAAATTGAACACCACCACGGAAGTTACCTCATTGAGAATCGTTATAGTCAACATAGCGGCTTTATAAACTTGCAGTTTCAAAATGTCAGAATTTTTAAGACGGCAACATATATTTGGGTGTTAGTTAGCGGTAACAAATATACCGCGGCGTGGGACAAATCAAAAGATTCAGTGCAATGCCGCTGTTTGAACTTAAATGCAATTAAGGCACACAATGAGGCATTAGAAGACTGGGGACTCAGTAAATGGTTTGAAAGCACTTGAGCAATGCATTGTTCTCTTACAACCCTCTTTTGATGCTGGTTAATGTTGCTTTCGAAAAGCTGCATTCTTTCAACTTTGTACAGAATGTTTGTAGTATTCCCGCTGAGTTATTCATCCTCCATTCCAGGGATGACTTGGTAATACAGAAATCATTTCTCCTTGAAAGTTAGGCGAGGGATACAATGTGAAATGGTGGCTCTTAGACAATGAATTATAAGACATATTAAATAAGGTATGATTAAGGCGAGGAAACCTGTAGTTTTTATCTATTTTCTAGGTGTTAAAAGAAGGGTTATTATGTGCAAACATTCTGGAGTTAAAACCAAATATACGCATGCAATAACTTTACGTTTATTTGTTTTTTAGAAATTGAATGAAATTGAATGAACAAAGCTGGGGGTAGAAACCTTCACTTGTGTTGAAATATAACTCGATCTCACATCAATACACATCTCAGTGTTCTTGAACACCTTACCGAGAGCTATCGCCATGGCTCTCGTCTTCAACCTGATCGTTCTTTTGGAAGCCTATCTGCTAACTGGTGAGTAATATATTTGTGAATACTTTTTAGGTCTAAATTGTTTCAGTATTGCGAAACACACGGGATTAAGGGGGTATATTTTACGCATTTTGTTCAACTTGCCCGATTGTCACAGGTGCTGGGGAGGGTAATATGAGATTTTACACATTTCGAGTGAAGTTTATAATTTAAAGTACAACTAAAACCTTGTTTGTGGCTCCAAGAATACTTACAGCGTGAAATCATTGGGAGATCTGCCAGGTTTTTCTTGGTAGAGTAATTTTATGAGTCGGTCGTATCAGCTGAAGAAAAGGGCTGGCCGAATCACCCTTAGCCTTAACACCCTTTGCATCGCCCTAATCTTTGACTTTCAAGACATCCGCAAGAAGCTTAAGCCGACTGTTCTCTACATCTTAGACATCGTAAGAAAGTATTACAAACGTTTTAACGATTAAAATACTTTCATCGACTTATTACTGCTATACGAAACCCATCTTTTATTTTCTTTCAGTATAAATCGAAGCTTGCTCACACATCCATCGACCGACTAAGTAGAAAACAACGGCCTCGCAGAACATTTCTCGTTGGATTCAACTCACTGAATTTATGCGCAAAAGATTTTCTGAAATGTTTCTTGCCACCAAGAACCAGCACTTCAATCCAGATTTTTGTGTCTACAGTGACTCTGAAGTAAATCGGCTGCATGTTTCTTCGGACTTTAAACTGACAAACACTAAGGCTAATTTTTAAATGGATGTATGTCACATGTCTTGGATGAATTAAGCATATCTTTTCCAATTTATAGATATCATTAACAACTTTTTTCGTTGGATCTGACTTTGTGTTCTTTGCGATGAAACTTAGAATCCAAAGCTTTTTGTTGCGGCGAAGTGCGGAGTCCCTACTGCGACCTTCAAAAAAGTCGTTACTTCGATCAAAGTTGTCCGGTGTTTGACAACCCTTTTTCCTAAGATCGAATAAAAGCAAATTAGTTTGGTTTTAAGTATGGTTTCCTAAGATAAAAGGCGATTTTTTTTACATTCTGTGTGACATGTATGAAACTATGTTTCCAAACTCAAAAAGACTTAGATAGATGATGGTGAAACCTCGCAATCGTTTAAAATTCGTTTTATCTCAACTCGGTGAAAAAAAAAACGCAGTTATTGACAACATTAACGCGGCGAACAATTGAAAATTAAGTAACATTAGCTCTTCATCACCTCTCTGTGATGTACCATATTGAAAAAAAAAAAGACATAATTAAAGCTAAGAGGCACTTCAGATCAGAGTTCACGAGTGAGCAAACGAAAGATGACTTCATTGTCAAAGTCTTCCTATATCAAGGTAACGGATGTTATCGCAAAAATCAACAGCAGTAACTTGTCACGGGCGGGACTTTTTTTTCACGACTTTTTCCCGATACACCGAGAAAAATACATTTGAGAAGCCAAAACAATCTATATCGGTTTCTTATGTAAAAATATTGCCTTTCATCATATTCGCAGTTTAGAATTGAGTTCCAAGAGAACATCGCTAAATTGTGACAAGAGATTTTATGCAGGCAAAACTTAACGTCAACTAAGTTGGTGAATATGGTTGCCAGGTACGAGTTTCCCTGAGTGAAGCATGAATAATTTGTGGGGGAGATCTCCCAGTTCTGTCAGTTTAATGAAACATCAACATTTATTTCTTGCCGTGAAGAAAAGTCCCGGAAACATAAAAGGTAGTAATTGCAGCTGGCTTATTGCTTTTGATTAAATTTCTATCTTTGGAAAATGAATGTCCATCCTTCTGACTCGTTTACCATGCATTATTATTCATTATGCTTTTGTTTAACCTTAAAATGAAAAACTAGTGCGGTGAACCTAACAGGTTTCGGCGGTGAACGAAACGTTTTGAGGTAAAAATGGCATGAAATAGTACATTTCGTGAGCCATGGAATTCAAGAAATAATGGAAAATGCCAACCGACACGGACAGTAGAAAAAAGTCAAAAAGCCACAGAATTGCAATGTCATAATTAACTCAGCTACGTTAAGTTTGAATTCAAAGATTTAATCGATGGTAAGGTAATTCGGTAATTGTAAGGTAATTCTTTATTTATCGTGTCAGCTCCGCTTAGCTAAAAAACCATTTCGCTGGAAGCCCACTCTTAAAATAACATAAATGTACAATAGTTTTTAAACAAGAAAACAAAAGAAAATACAAACTACAATACAAAAATAAAAATACAAAAAAAAAAAAAAAAAAAAAAAA